GACTGAAATAACTGAAAATAATTAATTCCGAAAAATAATATCGGAACTAAAAACATAATTTATACTGATAAAAAGTCGGGATATTACAATATTGCCTCTTGAACGACAACGCTACTGGAAACATATTCAGCTTCCATAGTCGAAAGGGCTATGCAATCTTGTATTTTACTGTACAGGATATTGCACCTCCACCGAATATAAAGGCATATCCTGAAGATGACTTTGACTCATCCAGATCGCCATCCCAATCAGCATCCGAGTATCCTTTTAATTTCAAGGACCCACCTTTATAGCAAAGTACCAAGTCACTTGTACCACGCAGGTACCGCAAGATTTTCTTGACAACTTGCCAATGTGCAGGCCCAGGGTTTCTTTGGTAACGACTTACCAAGCCAATCGCGAAGCAGATGTCTGGCCATGTACATAACATAGCATACATCAAGCTTCCTACCGCACTAGATTTATGTTTTTCTTCATCTGTTTTCGGACATTGGTCAAGACTTAAGGTTAAACCCTTTTCGACTGGGGTATCAACGGGTTTGGAATAATGCATTCGAAAACATTCTAAGATTCTTTTAATATATGTTTCTTGAGACAAACCAAGAAGTTTCTTAGGACGATTTCGCATTATTTCCACTCCTAGGACATACCTAGCTTCACCCATGTCCTTCATTTCAAAGTTAGAGGACAACCACTACTTAGTGTCATTGATCATTCCCATGTCGTTTCCAACCAACAATATGTCATCAACATATAAAGAAAGAAAAAAAATTCCTTCTTAACTTTTCTTGACATACACACAATGATCCTCATCAACCATGGTCAAACCAAATGCACAAATGGCTTTATGGAATTTGAGATATCATCGTCTGGAAGACTGCTTGAGACCATATATGGATCTTTTGAGGCGACAAACTTTATCGTCTTGCCCTTTTGCGACAAACCCAATAGGTTGATCCATATATATCTCCTCCTTAAGAGAACCATTGAGGAAAGCTGTTTTTACGTCCATTTGAAATAATTCTAAATCCAAATAGGCAACCAGAGCCAGAAGAAGACGAATAGAGGCAAATCTCACCACAGGAGAAAATGTCCCATCGTAATATATACCTTCAATTTGGGTAAAACCTTTGCTACTAAACGATCTTTGAACTTTTCTATTGATCCATCCACCCCACGCTTGATTTTGAATATCCACTTACATCCAATTGATCGACTATGAGGTGGAAGG